TTCCTGGACTCTTCTGAAAACTTGACTTGGAGAAGTCGACTTTGAAGTTTGAAGCTATGGGAGCCTTAGCTGCGCGAGGACTGATGCAGGAGTGTGCATGCGTGCTGTGTGCCCGGGAGAGTACTCGTCAGCTACAAAAATGAACCATCTCTCGCCACCGGCACCAACATGAGTGGAAGCGGAAGCATCACGCTAAGTGAACTAGAAAGACAAATGCCAGATGGTTTCACTTTTATGGGGAATGTAAAGAAAACAAGAAGATAACACAAAGCTAAACCAATAACAGACTCTAGAAATCTCTCTGTAGACTTGAGACAGCCGGGGGTGGGGGGAGGGGGGTCGGGAGCAGAGTGGGGCTGTGCTGTGGACTCCAGTGGGAGACCGTGGAGCCCGGTGGGTGTGGTGTGGCAGCAGACATCTGAAGGGGTGTGATCCTACGTTTCTGGGCCATAGAGGATGTCGCGAAGCCAAGTTACCTTACTAAAAAACAACATTCTTGGAACTTGAGTTCATGACTGTCCTCCTTGAATCCAGTTCTGAAGTCTGAGTAAGTGAAATGAGTTTCTTAAACTTGATCTGAACTCATTAACTTCCTCCGTGAAGGTGTGGGAGGCTGCCGTCTTTCTTTGCCCAGCCAAGTGGATTGTCTATAATAAAACACCTACCTCTTCAGGGATTTTAAATTAGCAAGCCATCTGGCAGAAAAAAATTAATAAGGCCAGCATTACTCCCGAGGGAGGGCTTGAGCTTTACGCCCAGGGTTAAACAGCGCGGAGGGTGTTTGCTTTTCAAGTGAAAGTTACAATTCCTATTGAAATATCACCCCCTAACTGTGTTATGATTGTTAGTCAACTTTTGTGTTATAAAACCGACCACAAATGCATGCAAAAAAATGGCACGTGATTATGAATTAGATGTAGCAAAAAATGTTTATTTCAGCCTAGAGAGTGCCATGTGACAGGCCCATCAATTGTTAAGACTCTCGTTCATGCTGGGTACCTGCTGGAACCCAGTGGAGCTCAATTAAAATCACTTCTCTGTAATCTCTGGCTTATCACTCCCCAACGATCCAGCCCTGCCACTGTTTGCAAAAGCAAAACAGAATTTAATGTTGGTGATGGTGAGCTGGTCACTCACTGGTAGCTGGCACAAGGTGACAGAGTTAATCTTCCAAAGAAGGAACCCGGAAATATTGGTAAAGATGATAAAAACTGTTTCTAAATCTCAGATAATTGTAGATTTGTGCAGATGCTACTAACTGATAAAGCAAAAAGAAACTTGCTTACCAAAAAGTGGCTCAAAAAACCCAGGCATTTTTGGCTGGCTTATGACAGCTGAGGAGTTGTGGGGAGAGTGAAGACAATCAGTTGAGGAGCAGGGAGCAATTTATTTGAGCTTCCCATTCACAATGAGTCGAATGTGGACTTTCTGTGTCTGTCCATGGCTATAAATTTACATCGACAGAATTCATATATGTATTAGATGCTTTTAAACTTGGTTTATAGTACCTAGCTGAAGTTTGTGAGTGACAGGCACCCACCTGCATTTCTATATACTTTTCGATTACCCAACTTTTTGTATGTTGAATGTGTATCACATTATAAATAAGAATACAGACACAAAATGTGTATTAAAAAAAAAAACAAAACAAAACACTGAATTGAGGCCCTCCCTCGTGGCACAGCACTAAGAAGCTAAAGAGTTAAAGCACAGCGCTGAGAAGCTAAAGCCACTGCAGCATGAGTTCGAACCCCAGCCCCAGAGGTGACCCACAGGGCACGGCAGACCTCTCCTGGCCCACCCGCTGCTCCCTCAGCAGTGTGCTGAGTCCGTCTGCCTGTTCTGCTCCCCATGCTGTGGCTGGTGAATCATCTCACCCCTCACACCTCTGGCCTGTACCCCAGTACTGTGTGCATCAATAAATAAACCTTTAAAAAAAAAAAGAAAACACTGAGTGAGAAGCGACTGATGCAGTTGTTCTGCTAAAGCCATTCTAATTTAGAACGTGAAGAGCAATGATGTAGGGCATCTAAGAATAAATAGCTTAACATAACTGACAGATGGAACTTTTCCCGAACTCCAGAGGTCTTCCTGGCTTCCCGTTTATGTAACATAAAACTTCTTTGGTTGCTGCTGAATAATTGTTCCTTGCTGGAATGAGTTATTATATGCAATTCACTATCTAGATGCGTGTATGTTGTCTATACTCGCACACACAGGAAGTGTGTTCACAACAGCTAGATACTAGCTGTGCTAGTCTGAGTAATCTCGTAAACAAAATCTAAAACCAGACTTTGGTACAGGCATCTCACAGACCCCATCTGGATAGCCAGAGCAGAAATGGGGACAAGGTCACCTGAGGACAAAGGTCATCGAGGGCCTTTTTTTTTTTAAACAGTTTATTTTTACATCATTTTGTACATTTTTTTTTCCATCTCAATTGTAATCCCCGCGGGTTTCCCATCACCAAATCACCCGTGTGCCACCACCATAATCCTGGGCATTCCCCCCCCCCGTTTTTGACCCCATTCCCCACTTCACCCCGCAAAATGTCTCTGGTATATGGTTGTTATTTTTGTTATTTTTGTTATTTTCTCGCCTGGTCCATTATACTCCTGCTATGAGCGAAACCATCCAGTATTTTTCTTTCTCTTTCTGGCTTATCTCACTCAGCATGATCCCTTCCAGCTCCATCCAAGTTGCTGCAAAAGACATGTGTTTCTCTTTTTTGGTTGCTGAGTAATATTCCATTGTATATATGCACCACATCTTTCTAATCCAGTCATCTACTTTTGGGCATTTGAGCTGCTTCCATGTCTTTCCAGTTGTAAACAAAGCAGCAATAAACATGGGGGTGCAGGTGTCTTTTTCAATCTTGACCCACAACAGAAAGGACCTTTCTTGTTTTAGGCTTATTTGAGTCGGGGACAGCCCGGCCTTCTCTCCTCTCAGGCAGATGCAGGGTGACAGCTGAGTAACTCATGCTTACCACACGGTTGCCGTGAGAAGGCAAGGGAGAGAGTCACGCCAGATTCCCTTAGCGTGAATGCACAAGTGCTCGTTTCTTACTTAAAAGTCTAAGCCAGCATCAGGGGAGAGTTATCAGCGTCACTTAACCGCTGTTCGGAACGAGCCCTGGGCGATGAAGAGCAAGTGGCCCCTTTGCGGTATTAAAGGAAGTTGAGTCCGGGAGCAAGGATGACCCAGCCCTGTCCAGGGCCAGGGAGGGCGCCTCACTCCGGACACTTGCTTTGCTGAGTTTCAGCTTGACGAGATGTCTTCAAGTAAAAGCATCACCACATACTTTTCAAATGGCTGGAAAGGGACGGTGTGTGCGGACAGGTGGGAGAGAAGGCGCATCCTAGTTTATCTGCTGGCGGCGTCCTCATGGGCGTAAACGCACCTGACGCACCTGCCCTCTCCGGGCACACGGCCCTCACGTCCACACTTGGGCGCCGTCGCTTCGTGCTTGCGGAGCCTCAGCTATTCCTGGGGGATAACAGAGCCGGCAGGCAGAGCCGTGACTTCAGACTGTCTCACGCACTGTTACCTGACCTGGGCCAGGATGTCATTTTCCGGAGCTGCAGCGTTCTCGACCGGAATACAGGCACAGTCCTACCTGAATCACAGTGATTCCAAGGATGAAGTTAGGTGATGCGTCCGAGGGAATACAGGCCAGCTCACGGCAAGCACTGGACACCACCGCTGGGGTAGCCGCTGTTCAGCAGGGGCGAGCACAAGTTGCTGGCGCCCACGGGCTGCAGTCGCTGGTGTTTCCTGTTCAGGTGAACGGTAACTTCTTGCCCCCCATTTCCTCAATTCACCCTTCTTAAACTTGCTTTCTTCGTAAATATTTTGGAAATTATGTTAAAATTCGGGAGGAGTATGAATCAATAAATAAAATCTTAAAAAACATCGGGAATAATTCTCCCACTGGGGGGAGAAATGGAGCACTGTCAAATCCTGTGGGCGGGAATTCTGCTTCCTAACTTTTCTAGTAATGATGTAATCAAGAAAGAAATACAAGATATCGGAAACGTTGTCTCAAGTTCCACTAGAAGTCACAGTTGATCAAGCACTAGCCAAAGGATTCGCTAAACAAGCCCTGGGCGCAGGGTGAGTGGGAAGCTGGACAGACGGAACTCGGCGATGCAGGGGCTGGTGATTTTCTTTTTTTACTCTTTACATATTTTTAAATTAAGGGAATGTATTTTGCAACACTGCGTAGGGGCCGGAACGCGGGTCCCCACCTACTCAGGCACCGCACGCCCGCACACCCCACACCCTGCACGCCCTTCTGCCACCCCTGGGCCTCCCCTCGGCTCCATCCTCCACCTCTTCCTCCCAGAGACTCGGTTTTATAATCCAATTTCTGGGTTGGTTTGTGACTGGCTTTGTTTTGTTTCTTTACATTCCTCAGATAATGAAGCTATGTGATACTTGTTGTTCAGCTTCTGACTTATTTCACTTACCATCATCCTTCCAGTTCTATCCATGTTATTGCAAATGGGTTGAGTCTCAGTGCTATGAAGCTGTCTGCAGCCTCTGCGGAATTAATTCAACCCCCGGCCAGGGGGTGGCCCCCAGGGGGCGGCAGACCTCTCCTGTCTCCCCGCCGGGTTTCAGTAGATCCGCCTGCTCTGCTCCCCGCTCTGTCTCTGGGGAATTTTCTCACCTCACCCGCTGCACCTCTGGTCTGCACCCCAGCTCCCATATGCAGAAATAAATCTTTAAAACAAACCAAAATATAATAGTTTAAGAGTTAAGGTGGGAAGAATAAACTGGGGAGGGTGTGAGTGCATTTCTGCGCTGCAGGTAATGCCCGTCTGAGGTTCAGATGTTCCCTCTGTAAAGTCAGGAAGTGTCTGTCGCGCTCCTGAAAAAAATGTGTGGACATTCATTGCCATCCTTGGATTTGCTTACATTTTCGTTCTTTCTGACATGCACTGATGTGGATCAGTTATGCGCATTTAGAAACAGAAGTGCCCCAACACCTCAGCAGAAGTCAAAAATTTTATTGAATTCGCATAGCAGCATAGCACTGAGTGGTTTTAAGATACAGCAGTGAAGGTATCACCTCAAAAGTTAAACAGGAACGTTTGTCATTTTAATATTAATTTCATAAGCAATCCAGGATTTCCCTCACATACACTTATAAATATATATGCATATATGTTCTAGAAACAGTAAAAGGCAGTGAGCAGTAAGACGATTATTCAAGTACAATAATCTAGTATACAAAGGGACAAAGAGGGCTAATTTGCATAATCCACAAAAAAGATATTCTAATAATTTTCACTGCTCCCTCTGCCTTTCCACAAAAAGAAGAAATACAGTTCAGCAGACAGAGCACTTATGATCACGGTAAATATTGGCAAACAGGTAGCACCTTTGGTCAATAAAATGATTGTCAACATTTGCAGGAAGCCTAAATACAGCAGTTCTGATCTTGTAAAGAAAATAAAGCTATTTAATATGTAACATGAAGTTTAACTGCTGCATATTTCAGCATTTGCATAGAATATTTAATAATCAAACCAAATCAAAACTGATTTTAAATCTAAGATTAAAAATGCTAAAGTTGTTGCTTTCTACATCTTATTTTGCACACTACCCAGAATTCCTCTAATGTACATTCAGTCTGTGTCACAGAATACTGTAGTATTCATTTGATAATATAGGCTCACAGGTTCATTTCAATAAAGGGATCATCCTGTGTCTCACACTTTGTTAGGTCTAAGTGCTACTATAACTAAGATGACATTCTTGTCCACAGGAGCTCACAGCCTAGTAAGAAAGAGATGAATTTGACACACATGAGAAACTACAGGCAAAATATAGACTTACAACGAGAAATTGGACATTGAATTTCAAATTAGGTATGTCGTGAAACACAGAAACTCCAAAACAGGGTTTCCCAGAAAGTGAAGTTCACATGTTACTGTACTATAAATGAAAGTTGAGTGATAAATAATTCAGTATTGAAACAAGTGTGCCGAAAAATGAAGGAGCAATACAGGGAACTGAATATACTTTTAACTGATTGACACTAAGATACACTGCGGATTTAAATGCATCTACACTGAGTTTAGTTAAAAACAAAATACACACATTGTGACAATGCCAGTTTGTTCATTTTTGGTTAATTTTCTTCCTCAAGTTTTGTTTGCTCAGTTTGACACCTCTATCTATCTATGTATCTATCTATCTATCTATCGATCTATCTACCTATCTATTTATCTATCCATCCATATGATATGTAATATATATAAATTACAGAAATATACATTCCAAGATTTAATCACAGTTCCTTTACATACATTCATCTGTAAGAGATTTTAGTTATTTTATACCTGTTGATATTTTATGAAATCTGTACAGCCCTGATTAATGGCATGTAAAAACAGATGACTGGATCATCTTAAGAGTCAAACAAAGCTACCCTTTTCTTTATTTTGGTACCTTAGTAACCACAGTCGCTAGGCTAACTGATAACAGGATCATCTGTTCAGCGGTCTTTCAGATGCAAGATCTTTTGTTATATTATGCATGGTCTTTAACAAACACAACAACTACATCTTGTTTCTTTTTACTTAAAAATCATAAAAATACAATCTGTGAGATCCTGTATATTTAAAAAAAATTGTATATATAAACCCCATATTTGCAAAAGCTAGTTAACTGTCACTTCTGCCAGGCATGTCTTTCTTACATCTATATGGTGCGCAATACAACATTATGTTTAACGTTTACTCCAACAAGCTTACTTTTAGTATTTTTCCAAATGTAATAGGGGACACAAAAGAAATATTTGCTGAAGAAATACATACATATATAAAATATATGCCTCTCATTGAGGAGTGACTATTTTCTGGGCTGAAAATTAGAAAAAAAAACTGTAGAGAGAATATTTGTCTAGGGAAAATTGTGATGGGAGAAGTTGGTACCTCTAAGGTAAGAGAAAATCTAGTTTTACTGTTCCTAGACACCTCATAAAATTTTATATTTCTTAATTAGGTGAAATAACCACTTTAAAACAGGATTTCTTTAGATTGTTCTAAGCCTACTAACACATAAGTGCCTCCTAAGATTCTTGGGTCAAGAACTATTATGGAGGCATTCTCCTCAAGGTAACACAACGTCAGTCATTTCTTGCATATAACTTAGCGATTTAATAAACATATTGCTTGTTGCTCTGGCATTACCTTTAGGAAACTCATATATGAACGATGCTTCTAAAATAAAATATAACTATCAGCAAACAAACCATGGGTTATTGACACATGGATTCAACGCACACCATGGTAAAACTAAACCCCCATTCCATACTTAGCATTTTTACTAAAATGTCCATAATATAACAAAAGATAAATAAGTTGACCTAGATACTGCAAAACAATAAAAGCAAAATCACCTTAAAAACAATTATAGAAGAATAATGAGGTTGGCATAAAGCAGCATAAAATTGCAATGGGAGAAATAATTTGTTCTAAAATATTACCCCATTAAAATCAAAATTATTTTTGTAGTCTTACTTTTCCTATTAAGGTAGAGAACTAAACGTATCATTCTCAACACTACAATAAATCTTCCACAGACTGTACATAAGTTAAATAAAGTGAAAAAAAAGCAGTAAGAGAGAGAAGACAAAAATAGACCAGGTGGGACCTTACAGAGTTACAACTGATAGTGCAAAAGCAACTGATAGTAGAGAAGAAAAGTCTCAACTATAAAAAAAAAAAGACATGAACTTAACAAGTTGTTCATTTTTACTTATCAGGAAAGATTTTGAGCATTCTTAATGACTGAGTTGGGGGTAGGGAGAAATCAAAACCTAAAAAGACACAAGAAATGATTGTCATTTTTATCTATAATTCCTCTGCTCTTTGGTATTAGACCACCTTGGAGAGGGGTCTCGTGGGTGTCCTGTATCAGAGATACCCTTGGACTGCAAAAGCCCGAGGGACCTGCAATAGTATCAAACTCTGCTTCTTAAAGTTGTCTGACGTTGTAAGAAAATTAGAAACACCCAGGATTGTAAATGTCAAAAATAAGATGATTGGATTTTCTAAATTTTCAAAACTCCCCTTCAATGATCTATTTACCACACACATGGAAAACATACTAACAAAGACAAATCTTCCAGAATGGCAGTGCTTTCCTTATGTAGAAAAGCATAAGCCTATAGTCACTTAGGTGCATAGATTAACCAAATTCTTTGTGTCTTATACTATTTCTAACATTTTGGTAGCTTGGGATCATCCCATAAATGAGAATCACTAAGATTATGAATATGTTTCCTAGGAAGTGCTTTTTTTAATTTTATTTTTGAGTCATAATAAACAGCAACAAATATGGGACTTATTTATAAAAAAAACAATAGTTTTCTTCTAACTCTAACCTCAGAGAAACTCTAGTATGCCTGAGTCATAAAAATGCCATTATTTTCACGAAAAGCAATCATGGCTATTTTGCAAGCATTTTTTTTTCTTTGGAGAAGTCGCATTGGCTAGAAAATCAGGCAACCTGGAAACATCTACTTAGGTGCTAGCAAACCCAGTCTCCAACAAGCATTAAATGGACCGAGCGCAAACCACAGTTAAACCCACCGACTTGCAGCGGAGTTGACAATTTTGTGTCTTTATCTGACTCGCCTTTGCTCCTGCAGCTTCTAACATGAGCAGCACGTTCTGCTTTGAGATAAAACTGAGTTTCAGTTCTGGTCCTATCACATCCTGTTACCTCTGGATTTGGGGAATTTCTGAACTTTCGTATGTCTTGTTTTGTTTTGTATCACTCAGCTGTTAAATCTGGCCACTAACATCTACCCAGGATTCATGTATGTTGAATAGTAAAACTTATTATTTAGGCAAAATGCATGGCATGGTTTAGTTTCTTTCCCACATTGCATGCCTTCTCCCTAATGAACACAGAGTAATCATGCATTTTAAGTTTATTAAAAACCTACAACATTTTACACAGGAGAGTTTTTTAATGCCTGTTTTCAAGTGCAAATTGTCATTCGCTGATTAAGGATATTGCTGTGTCTTAAAATATCAATAGGAAAAATCGTTATATCACACATCTTGTAGATTCTAAACTGTTATATGCTGTCAAAGGATGAGTATCGATAACTAGATTAAAAATGTGTAGTCAGATATTCTAGTTATTTCCTCGTGTTCAAAAGCAGCCCATGAACCAAAGTGGCTGGAAATAGAGAAGTGAAATTTATGAGCCATGCGAATTCACACAGAAAAGATCGCGCCTTTCAATCTAACACTTCACTCTCAGATGACCCAAAAGAAGATTGGGGGACAGGCTGGGGTGAGGGCACGCCTCTCCCCAGCGTTCCCGAGGGGCTAACAGGGCTGCGCCGTCTTCCCACCCAGGAACCCGGACTTGGCCGCCTTGAACGACGGCGACGCCGGGGCTCGCCCTCACTGCCCCCTGCGCCCTCTGTGACCACGGAGTGGGCCAACAGGCGCCCCAGGGCGAAGTGGGGCGAGTGCACACGCAGAAGAGCGGAATCCTGGGTCCGCTCTTGAGCAGCTCTGCGCCCAGCGAGTCCCGGCCTGGCCACGCGCTCTGGTTGGCCGCCGCGGGGAGCGGGGTGCCCTCTGGTGGGCTTTGCACCCCACGCCGACTCCCCGCGCTAGAAATAGAGTGAGGGAAGGGCGCCAGAGAGCCAGCGGTTTGGCCTGGTCCCGCCCGCAGGGCTGGGCAGCCTCTGGGCGGCTGGGCAGCCTCTGGCTGCTGGCCGTGACCTGTTACAGCTCCACGACTCTGCACTTTGCTCCTTCTTCCCCCGGGGGTCTGAGGCCTGCATTAGTTTAAATGCGTCTTCAGAGAACGCCTGGCATTTTATGATATTTGCGAATTCCTGCACAGTTTATGATGCTGCATTTCTTGTGACGAGTCACAGCAGAGGATAAAAGCACTAACCGAAAAAGCTCATTCAAGACTCAAGCTTAGATGGAAGTAAATTGAGGGAGCCACATACTGCCACATTTCCCCTGATTTATTTGCCTATTTTATTGGTGCGTGTCGCTTGACTTAATATCTGAAAAAGATGAATACTTAAGTGTAAATAGGTAAATGTCAAATGAATGATGGAATTCTACAGGACTCACTTAGGCGTCATCCCCACAGGTAAACGGTGCATGCACTGGCAATCCAACCCCGAACACTAACATTCGCAGAAGCTTGGTATCCGGCTGCAATTTCATAGGGAAGTGGACAGCACCCGCTGCTACAGCCACAGCCAGTGACTGCAGCTTCCTTCGCCAGCTTTCGAGCGGCATCACTTCGATAACCAAGCACTGACTGTTTTTATCCATCATGACGTTCATTTAAATTTCAGATTCTCGATATAAATATTTATAACTTGCTCTGCTATGCAATTTCTTCTTGTTTAAAAACACTTTTCGCACCCAAGACAGTGGGTAGGGCTGTGAGCAAACAGCCCGCCATGTGCCTCTGTGTTCAAAGGTGATCAGACACCTGGATGCTTCCATGGCGTCCGGGGACCGAGGCCTGGCATCAGCCTGGCTGCCGCTGTCACGGGACCAGCCACCTGCAGGCGCGGGTGTGCACCCCGTCACACGCAGCCTGCCCTTCTGGAAGCCTCTGCCTACAGTCTCCTGGCTTCTGAGCCCGCAGGCTGCGTGGGCCTACCGCCGGGAGGAGAGGATTCAAGCGCTGCTCTTTTCACACTGTGAGGTATCTGCAGTGACGTAAATAGTCTGGCTTTTTTTTTTTTTTTTGCTTTTGCATTTTGGGAAGGGGAGGGAAATGAGAGCCTGGAAGCCTCATCAGAAGCACCTCCCGCGCTTAGTTGGTTTTAATCAGATGGGCTACTCACAACAGTAACCCTTCGATCATCGCTATTTGCTGGGAAAACTTAGAACTCCACCTACTTGCAAACCTCTCCGTCAGGATTTTGACTGGTTCCACTCTGAGGCAGCGGTATTTTGGTTCGTCTGCATTAACTTCAGTTTAAAAGAGGTCCCTGTCATCAAATTGTGGATTTCTAAGTAGCATCTTTTAAAATCAATGGACATAGCTTATTGCCAGGGGCGTTTAGGCTTTTAGCAAATTAGCGGATGATTCTGAAAATTATTTGAGGGCTCAATTCTCTAGCACTAGGTACTAATGGCCTACTTACAAAAAAAGTCTGTGTGTGAATTAATCAAACCTAACAGTGCTCAGAAATAATGTTCTAAAGTGGAGTTTTTTCTTTTGTTCAAATTTATTTAAAAATGAATCATCCATTTCCACCCATGTTCTTGTAGGGTCTTTACAACTTACATTGTAAAGCACAATGCAGATAGAAGATATTTAATTTGTTTCACGGGCTTTTCTTTTATTTAAAATTACAGTGCTAATATTCTCCTTGAACTTGTCTTTTTCCCTCCAGACCCTGAGCGTGTGCATACTTGTGTGTGAGCGTGATGTGTCCACATTCTCCTTGAATTCAGCTTGCTACTTTAGTGTCAGGCAGAAAAATGAAATGCGGAGAGGGGTCACTTATGAGATTAAACATACTCCTGCTACCGACTGACACCAGGCTTTGAATTCACATCTCTATCACCGAGACAAAGTCTCTAGGAGACGTTAACGTTATTTCAGCCACTGCCACCCACCCGTCATGTGTGTGATTAAAGCCACTGCACAGTCTCTCTCTCTAATCTCAAAGTTTTAAAAACAGACTTCATTACAATTTGCCATGGAGAAAAACATCACTTCCACCTGTAATTATGACTCACTACAACAATAAAAAACCTGATATGGGGGAGGGCTAGGAGAGTCATAAACACTGGAATGAGAGGCGACTCTGTTTAAATATTAGTCTCTCTTTCCGACGGCGCAGCCCCTTCTCGCGAGCTTCTGATACTAACTTCACAATGTTTACTTTTGTTCAGTGGTTCCGATTCTGTGGAATCGGGGCTGTGCATTTTCTCCTTCTTGGCTTCTTCCAACTTCTTTTCCTTTGCGAGCAATCTGTAGTTTATAGCATTTCCGATGAGCAGCCACACACTCGCTAGGACCACGATCGCGCCACAGGCCATGTACATGTACTTATAGTCTCCAGTCTTATCCACCAATTGTCCTGAAAGACAAAGAGCACGCTTTAGGTTGGCATAATTAGGCAGTCAGCGAGTGATAAACTTCTAAAATAAAGTTCCCCCAAAGTGTGTACTTATTGCTTACTTAATACTCAATGACCTTTCACAAAGAAAATTTGTTTTAGATTACGAATCCCCATATATAGGTCCATGCAGCATTATATCGTCAATACGTTCAATTTCTTAAAAACTAGTTCCTTGATAAACATATATAAACAAACACTGGACAGCCAACATATGCGACTCGGTGCATGTGTTGCCATTGTTCAAAGACTCTTCTGCGAGGCACATGTTTAATGGCTGTAGACATGATACACCTATCAACCGATCTCTTTACAACATATCCATTGAGAGTGATGTATCCTTTTCTTGCTTCCTATCTTTTCAATAAAAAGGGAGAAGTTGGGGGTGTCCCAGGTGGAGCAGGGGTTTAGTCTCAGCACAATGAAGCTATGTGCAGTCCCTGCAGCACGAGTTTGATCCCCGGCCAGGGAGGGGCCCCAGGGTGCAGCAGCCCCCTCCTGTCTCCCCGCTGCTCCCTCAGTGGTGGGTTTCAGTGGATCCGCCTGTTCTGCTCCCCACTCTGGCTCTGGGGAGTCCTCTCACCACCCTCCACCTCTGGCCCATACCCCAGCTCTATGTATGCATATACAAATAAAATAAATCACAGATACCTGACAGGACAAGATATTTACTTCCTCTACGTGCAGCTAAATTAAGGATTAGACGACGTCCCTGATGTACAGTATCTCGTTTAATTCTTATAAGGCCCCTGGGGCATAGTGGGCCAGGGTTGCAGAGCCAGTAAGTGGCAGAATCTCAGCTACTCTACAAAGCAGCTTTAAGCAAACTTCTTGGAAAACACTGATGAGCTACACCACTAATTTCCGACCAGGTGAACAAGAGAAAAGCAAGAGATCAATAATGCCTTAATATTAACAAAGTCAACACGCATTCTCTCATTTTCAAGATGGTTCCTTGATATCAAATAGGAAGTCATTTAAGCTTTCAAAAATGTCTGTTTAGTGGCAGTTGCTTGGCCACTAGGGGGCAGGCCAAGAGGCTGCATGAATTCCCCAAGTCCTGCTTTACCGAAACAACAGGGGATTCTGTAGGAGGCTAGCAAAGGGTATGCAGGCTCCGAGACATTAGATATAATATGCATGTGATAGCTATAACATTTAACCTCGTGCTAGGCAAAGACTTTGCTCAAGAATTAACCGCAGGTGCTGTCTTTGTCTCCTTACTGGAAACACTGAAACTGTATGTGATTTTGAAATCTAAAAGTAATCTTTCTAATTCTGAATATGAGATATAAGTATGATCAAAAATCGTGTCTAATGAATTTCCCTTCATTTCTGCAACATGCACATGTACATATATGAAGTCACAGATCCCTGTCTTGTTACCATGAGAGCATCCACTCTTAGACTTGGAACAAGTATTGCCCCAATACAACCAACGTACCCCAATATGAAAACTGAGTCTGGCCTCTTGAGAGCGCTATTTCTAAGTGTTTGACTCATTTTCATGTAAACAGAAATCCACTCACAACGCCAACATAAAGAAATGGCATTTTAGTTTTATGGTGCATCGTTTAAAGCACGAGACAACTGATATGGATGAAACCTGAAAATATTATGTGACTATTACTGCCCAAGGTAAATCCTGAAACACACTTAGGGCCATCCCCACCGCCTGTGACAGTGAAACACAATAATATATAATAATAATATGTTATAATAATAATAACATAATAATAACACAGCATGGCCCACAACTGTAGACCAGAGACAGCCTGTAGGAGGCGGTGGGGAGGGAGCGATAAGCAGGGACTAGCGCGGGACTGTGGCCACTGGGCAGGGGGAGCTGGGGGGGAGTGGTGGTCACGGGAACCACACGTCACACAAAGAGGGGAGAAGTCATCACATCTTTAAAATACATACTGAAACCTAGACTTGCCACCCGTGTCTAGAGCTGCTCTCGCTTTCCGCCTCAGCCCCGCGACTCCCGTTCTCAACCACGACAGAAGAGCGGGCAGGTGCTAAGGTCACCGCGCCCGGCTGGGCAGTGTCCTTACCGGCCAGCGGGGGGCCGAGGAGCACCGGGCCGCACTCCACCACCGTGACCAGCCCCACCGCGCTGGAGAAGCGGGCCGCGCCCACCAGGTCCATGAGCGTTTCGAAAAGGACGCTGCTCACGCTGCCGAAGCCGAGGCCGAAGAAGACGGCGTAGAGCACGAGCGTCGTGTAGTCTTGTGCCAGCGGGCACAGCAGGTGGCACAGCCCGTTGAACATCACCGCCAGGCTGAAGAAGTACTGGATCCGGGGCCGGATGAGCTTGGAGTTCGCGATCAAGCCCACAGAGGGTCTGGCAAACATGTCCACAAAAGCCATGACCGACAGCAAGAAGGCCGCCGAGTACTCGTCGATGCCTTGGTCCTTGGCGTAGGGGGCCAAGAATATCACGGGGGCGAAGAACCCGAAGAACATGATGACGTTCCCGGACAGGTAGATGAGAAAGCCCCTGTGCTTGAAGAGGGAGAAGTCTAGGTACTTATTGATTTTTTCGTACAGCGACATCTTCGGGCTTTTCCTCACACCTGCGTCCTCTGAGGCGACGTCGAGCTTCACTTTGGACTTGGAAGTGGTCTGTCTGGGTCCGAGGGGCCTCATGAGGGCCCCCGCCACACAGGCATTCAACAGAATCCCACCCAAAATCAAAAAGCTCCCTTTCCAGCCAAAAGTGTTGAGAAGGTACTGATTGAAAGGAGCCAGCGTGCTGAGGAACACAGGGCTCCCCGCCATGGCGAGGCCGTTGGCCACCGGGCGTTTCCTATAGAAGTATTTGCCGATGATCGTTAGGGCGGGTTGCAGGTTGAAGGCCAGGCCGAGCCCTGAGAAGAACAAAATGAGAAAAACGGACACATTAGACGACTTGCCAAAGAAATCCTCTTCCGAACGGATGCGGTCTCTGTGGTATGTTCATGCTCCTCGCAGGTGAGAGCACAGAGTAAAGCCAAGAGCTTCTATTGCTGTTTAGAACTGAATGTCCGACAAAGGCATTAATTTTGAATCGCTTCCATTCAAAGGCATTAATTTTGAATCGCTTCCATTGTATGCACATAGCATGTATATAATAGGTAATAACATGCACACACATTCTACTATATATTTAGACTTGAAGGAATGTGCACACATCAGAAAGGTTGTCATTTATAAGCAAATCGTGTAGCTCCCAGGATACTTCTTTCAAAACCATGCAAAGAACAATAAACACACAGTTGCATGCTCTCTATCCCTCACATTCTCTACTTCACAAATACAGATGTACATGTAGGCTAGCTAAAACAAATATATTGTTTTGGTAAAAAATGCTCCTATTTTAGGTATTAAAGTCGACTTCAGGAGTGAACGTGTACTGTCTTCAGGGAACGCCCTGGCCAAGCAGAGCAGCACCTTTAAGGGATGGGTTGCTTCTGAAAGCTTGCCGAGCTACAGTTCATCAATAGCGATGAGCAGGCTTGTTTCAGATGGACCTAGAATGGGTCTATGCCAGCCACCTCTTTGCTTAACCTAGACGGCTTCCATACTTACTGTTCTAAATGATTTACGGCACAATTCTTCTGCAGTCGCACAGTTATGTATATCGGGTCGCCATTGCAATGTGGATAAATAGTCAAGTTCTTGGGCATTCAGTATTGAGTATGAACCCTTAAGACCTTTACTAGACAATGTTCTATGTAGGTGGGTCCCTAAAAGGTGACAGGAGGGAATTTTAGACACCTGAAGTTTCCTATTTGCAATTCCAAGCAGTATTTTTTCGCATAACAAAAGGAAAGAGTTGGGCTAGACTGTAAAGAGAAATTCTTTAACATCACTATTATTGTAGATTTTATTATATCTACATATATTTTTCCATCAAATGATACGCAAGTGGAAGTTTAGACAAATATAACATGATTATAAATGGGAATATATTTATGGATGTAAGAGAAATATTTAATTTCATTATACACTGAAGTCTGTTTTTTCTAAAAACGGTGAAGGTCGAACTGTTTAGCATAATTGAAGTTGAGGTTAATAAAAATATTGTTTTCCAAAGTACACATTCAGGTCAGATTGATGCCCATGGCCCTATTACATGAGAATCGGCTATAATCAAATGGCAGGACAGCCCTTCAAAATATTCGGGTTTAGTGACAAATGAGCCTTAGAAAAACTTCTAAGCAGAATAATTTAGCAAGGAAAGAAGGTATGCCAACCAGTTCACCACTAGCCAAAATCTAGACAACAACATTGTTAAAGCTACATGGTGCATCTAGAAAGTGTCTCTTGACTGATGTCATTTTTAACCTATTCTGAGTGACAGTCAGCTAGCCCAAATAGCAAAAAAGCAATGGATCATTTTTGCAAAATGGAGCTGTTTCTACGCCAGCTAGTCTCTGTCGGTGATTGCGCCCTAACTGAAGCGTGAAACAGTAAACACAAACCAGTGTTTTCTTTTCGAGACTCACATAACCTACCTAACTTCTCCCCCAATTCTTGAAGTGAGTTTGCCCATCTCTAGCTCCTATTTCACTGTACTAGACATAAACACTTTCAGATACTTGGATACTTTACGAACTGTTAACAGAAGAAACTCTGATTTATAGTCGTCAGTTGATGTTCTTGTTGACTTTATTACAGTTACTATATAGATGCATATAGTACAAAATGAAAAATATAAAAAATGCACTTACAAAAGAAAAAAGAAAAGAAAACAAGGGAACTGCCAAAAAAAAAGAATTTTCTGTTTTTGGTGTCTCAAGAGCTTTGCAAACTGCGGAACTGCTGAGGCAGGAAGGACGGAAAGCTTGACTCACCGCCCAGGAATCCCACCGTGAGGTACAGCTCCTGCACACTGCTGCTGAAGGAGGCGGCCAGCATGCCCAGGCAGCACAGCGCGCCACCCGCCACGACGATGGGCCGGCTCCCGTATCTGTTCACCAAAACACTGCTGACGGGACCTGCCGCACAGAGAAGGCGAAGCAGAAGGTGAATTAATGAGCAGAGAAAAGCAATTAGCGACGGGGGATAAAATCAGAACTTTCCAACACTTCCCAGTCAGTTTGCTAGGTCATTTTAAACCGCGTGAATGAAAGCACATAGAATAATAAATTCAGATTATTTTACATATAGTTTGTTGTGATCGAAATTGTTTGATTGTGATAAGAAAGTTTTCAACAGGACATAGATACATATATAATTATGCTAATAAATGCAGGTAAATTTGCGTAACAAAAACCTCTGAAGAATAGAATTCCCTCTCTGATATGGTAAAGGTCATCTGAAAATTACATGAATATAATTACATACACGACTTAAAAAATGAACATTTTCATAAAAAGCATTATAAAAAAGAGACTCAGAATAAATGGATTAGCTTTGATTAATTATTGGATGGAGGTTTGAGAATTTCATACTAATGCATTCCTATTCATTTTTTAAAATTACTTAGTCAATTCACTTCAATTTACCTCAAATCAGTTCCGTGCAATATTTCTTGAGCTCCTGTCTACAGCCAGTCGGCACGGGCCAGGAATGAAATAATAAAAGCACACCTGTAATCCTCCATGTTTATAGTCCAGAGGAAGAATAATCAAGTTATTTGATAAACTGTGATGGATGATGTGATAGACACTACTATCAGAAGGAATTCTAAGACATTAATCAATTATTTGGACTAATAACAACAGCCTTCTTTGTATCATTTATATTATGTGTATCAATTATTTGTGTTGTCTGGACTATTAACAAATGGGTTAATTGATCACTATATTTTATAAGTGTCTGTGCTTAAATGGTTTAAATTTATATTTTAATGTCGGCTATACGTCACAATTTAATTTACAGTGATGGCAAATAATCACCGATATATTTGTAGGTGGTGATAACCACATCTAGGCTTTTTACCTTTACTGAGGCTTAATTAAAAGTAGCCAATAAAGAAAACATTGAGTGATATTAGCTTTTTTTTTAATGAGGGCTTGATAATTTCTCCCTCAACAGCTATCATGACACAATGAAAGTTCTAACTTCCCATGATTGCATTTTATCTTATATAGTTTATTTACATGACCACCTGAGAGGAGTATATTGGCCTAATTTATCTAAAACCTTTTCTAATAAGAAAATGTCAATTGTGTCGCACCACACCTACCACCGAGACACCCGGTGCTCCAAACCTCCACCCCAATTCTCTCTCCATGTACAGTGGCCTCAATTTTACAGACAGGTTTCTTGGGTGAGATTTTTGCTTGACTTTTCAAAAAAAAAAAACAAAGGAAGAAGTTTCAAGTAAATAAATACACTTATCAGATTTTTTTTTTAAATGAGCAAGACTCACAGGTGTCCCTGGTTGATGAATTTTAGATCTAATTATATTCAGAGCTCTCTCACTCGTGTATTAATTCAATCATTCCGGAAGTTTTTACTCAGCATGTATTTTCCAGGCAATCATGATGTTTAATCATCAGTTATGTCAGAGAAGAATTCCACCTGCTGAGAGTTATATCTGAGCCCACATCTAAGTAAAGCATTGATCCTGTTTCTCAACATGCTTTATTTTATTTCCCTAAAAAGCAGTTCAAAAAGAAAGGGGAGAATAAGTGCATGAGTCACAGTGTACCCCAGCTCCTCGCGCGACCACAAGGTAGCAGGTGTGTCTCAGGCAGGCTGACACATCCACGAATTTCTCCAGCTCCAGCTCCCAACCTGTCTCAGAATTTTAAACAGCAAATCTGAAAGCCACTTGGATGCCAGTCGTGAAGGTGAAGGAGGGGTTCATCCGAGAGTGGGGTCACCCACACTTCAGCGCCATCTTTGCCTCCAAAGCTACTTTTTGACTTGCTGTGGTTCTGTAACACTTCGCAAAGGAGTGTTTCTTCTGACGAAGGAGCTTTGTGGATTCTCAGAACCTAGAATAGGTCTGCCCATTCTGACAGAGCACAAAACACTGGTTTCCTTTGTACGCATCTGTCTGGACCACATTCAGGTATTCCACTCTGAGCTCCGGAAAGACGGCTGCCGTGCACACCCTTCCTACGAGCTCACTGCGGGCGGGCAGCGTGCCGAGCAGGGTACACTCGTTACTGCACGGGGCATTCGTGGGGTTCAGTCACGCTTGCCTGCTTCAAGCTAGCGGACAGCCGATAAAACGGAGGTAGTCAATGCGTTTGGATGACTTGGCCAAGGCCACGTCAGTATAAATGGTAGAACATGGCATGAGCCCAGCGTCATCTGACTGTAAGATTCAAGCTTTTCACTACTCGGCAGAGTCCACACACAGGCCCCACCCACACTGCCATCCCGAGAACGTGTGCTTGGCTCTCGTTAGCATCTGAGGACGTGGCGTTCTGGAACATTCCCAGCATCCCTGAGTGGCCAGGAGTGAACCACTGGCCCTGAACTGTTTTGGAGACAACGTGGCTTAGACGGAGCATCTGCCTGCTTTCCTTCTGGAGTCTGGGGTTCCGGCACACGCTGGGGAGAGGAAGCCTAAGTGACCAGCCCACGGAAACCTTGAGCACGAGTCTCTAGTGAGTTTCCCGGTGCACAACACCTCGTGTGTTGCCACAAGGAGCTGCCATAGGAGTCAGACCCTCCTCCGCACCAGCAGGCAGAGGGGTGCTGCACCTGTCGTCGCCACCTGTCACCCTTGCACGCTTCACTGGCTCTTCTGTAGCCTTTCGCTGCAGCAAGCCCTAACCTGAAGAGATGCTGCAGCGTCCTGAGCTGCTCCCCAGGGACGACCCCACCTGGGATGAGGACTGGACGCAGCGCGTCTCCCGACTGCTCACCCCGAGCTATGCGTGGCTCATAAGCAGTGATTGTGTGTGCCACACTTTGCAAATGTCTGAGTGACACGTGTCTGACCTGGCCGATTCTTGTGTACATTGTTATTCTTTTTCAGAAACATGAACTCACGGGGCTTGTTTTTATTTTTGTATATGTGTACAGATATCAGGTGAATCCATGATAAATGCTGGAAGAAAATTTAGAGTATGTTATGTAATACACATTTCATAAAATATATTTGATCAATCTAAAACCGTGAATTGGAATTGACTAAATTTGAGCTATATAAAAATTGTATGCACTGCATAAACACTAAGCACAAAATGATAAACTGCTATAATTTAGTTTTCATTTGCTTTATTTCAAATTTGTATACACACTGTGCTGTCAAATCAACTGACAGAAACACGAATGCAGGACTGGGGGAAAGCTGCTTGCAATTATAGAAATTTATCTGTGTTTACCACCAGGGTATTGTTCTTCCTTACAGAGACTTTCTAAAAACCTGAAATATGTTCACAGTGAGTTTTTAAATTAGAAACTTTTAATCTGGGCAGAGGGAGGGCTCCTCATTAACTGCTTTTCAACTAGTGATTTTTAACTCACGATTAACAAATGACTAACTAACGGGAGTGTGAATCTAAGTGGTTTGTTTCCAGGTGACCTCCTTTTATTGACGGTCATCAAAAACCGTAATGGGAGAGTGGAGAATCACCTGGGAGCAGTGAAGGATTTGCTTTCACCAAAGTGCAGAGACAGGTAAATCACCTGCAGTTAGCAAGTTGCTCACTGATAGTCGTGATTGGATTTACCGGAGCTCACTCAGAAGTCCCGAGGGCGAGGGCTTGGTCACCTGGGTACTACAGTGAGTGCACTCAGCAGCAACAGGTAGAAGCATTCAGTGATTCAAGGCGAGGGACTCTTTGGAGCGAGGGGAGCGAGGGGCTCGAGCAGCTGCAGAGATTCAGAAACCTAAGGGCAGGGCCGCTAGCCCCAGGCCTCAGCTCCTGGCCCTCTGTTGGGAGCGGCCTGCTCCTTGACAGGCAGCGCTTCAATTTCCTCACACTCCTGCTGGCCCCAACACGGAAAACTGCCGCTCTTCATCCACCGCCCACTTAGACTTGAGTAAGTGAGGGTCTTCGAGACACATACAGAAAGGAGCCACTAAAACTCCGTCTGACGCCCACTGTGCGGCTCAGGGGCTGGAGGAGCCGGGGACAGCGATGGATCTGTTCAGGGGGAGCTGGAGTTTCTCTACGTCAGTGACTCAGGCCGAGCTAACTCTGGAGGTATGGAAATTTCCAAAGGACCTCTGGGTGTCCGGGTCTGGGTTCTTTTAACCTTCCGGGAGTACTGAGCCCAAGAATCACTCAGGTGGTCTTGCTCTCTCTGCTTCCAGATCCATCTTTGGAGGTGTTAAACCCCAGGGCACTAGCGAGACAATGGCAAAGGGAGTTTCTCTAGCAGAAACTAATACAAACCCACCAAGACCGCCTAGGGCTTTGCTTGATGCATATTCCTGCAGGGACTGATGCAGGTTTTATGGTGGGGCATTTGGGATCGTGTTTTAGGTGCTCAGAAACCATACCCTGCAATGTGGGCAGCAGAAGTTATGGCCGCAACATTCCTTTCACTGACTTAGGTTCTTCTAACTATAGTCAGAGAAGGCATTGTTCTTGAGAGGCTGGTGACAAGTGTGAAGAGAGCACTGGTAAGCATGAATGTTTGTTAAAGGCTGTTTCAAAATTTAAGTTATTCCATTTGTAGACATTCCCTGAGTCGCCGCCCCCAGGGCCTTCCTGACTCCTGGGCAACAGCGGCTGGAAGCCAGGTTCATACCAGGGCAGAAGCTGCAACCCAGACCTGAGCTAAAGTCACGATGAAGCCCCCGGGCTGCTCATTGGGGTCCCCGAGCTTTCTGGGGTTAACCCAAGGCCCTCCCACCCCGCCTTCACCACTCCCAAAATGACAGCATGGGCCACATTGAGCCTTTTCATTGTGAACAACAGAAACAGCCTATGGCTTGTTCTTGCTTTAATCTTTTTGCAAAAACATATAAATATGAAGATCAACAGCATTTTAATTCTGGATAAACATCGATAGAAGCGTCCTATCCTTGGGCCTCAGTGCTTTACAATAATCCTCAAATTCATGTTAAAGTATTTATTTG